ATACATTATATACATTTATATTCATAGAAATCTGGAATCAACACCTCTGGTGCGGGAGATCTTCAGCTTTCTGTCGTAACTCCAGTTGGCCCGGTGAGGGCGCTATATCCCTGACAGAGGGTTTCAAGGAAAGATTATACAGACGCCTCCTTCAGTGGATTATCTCAGTTAATATGCATGATCTTTATAGTAAAAACTATGCTTACCCTTTGAATTTATTAAAGTCTTCTGGGACTCTCTGAAGCATCTTCTTCACGAAGCCCTGAGTGAGTGTGCAATGAAAGATGAGTTAATGAAACAAGGTCTCATCTCTCTTATACACAAGCCTAATAAGATCACAGATGTTTATATAATTGGCGCCCGATCACGTTTTAAACTCTGTTATAAGTTTATATAAGTTATATAATTATAAAATATTGGCTTCTGTACGCTGAAAAGCTCTACACAATTTCTCATTTCTAACACTCAATCTGGGATTTTAAAAGGTAGACATATCTCTAACAATTTTATATTAATTATAGATAATCTAGATTATTTCTGTAATTTAGTTCAACCTCCCTAAAGCACGATCTGTTATCCAAACTAATTCAACAACTTATGGTATCTTTTTCCTCCCAAACTTTATATCCCTAGTAAATTACAGAAACTGTTCATATAGTTCCCTTTCGTTAGGGAACTCCTACGTCTCGTCGGAGGAGTTTCCAACGAATTGGGATCACGCTAGGGAGACCAATTGCCTTCGAGTGAATTAAAACGAGCCAATGAACATTGGCATGCAAGACTTGCATTCCGCGCCCCGCCTGCCAGTGCGGGTATAAAGCGGAAGCAAGCGCATAGACAAATGCTTTTAGACGGGCCCAGCTGAACGGGTGCAGACATGGGACGGGCCCAGCTGAACGGGTGCGGACATGGGACGGGCCCAGCTGAACGGGTGCAGACATGGGACGGGCCCAGCTGAACGGGTGCAGACATGGGACGGGCCCTACTGAACGGTTGCGGACATGAGACGGGCCCAGCTGAACGGGTGCAGACATGGGACGGGCCCTACTGAACGGGTGCGGACATGGGACGGGCCCTACTGAACGGGTGCGGACATGGGACGGGCCCAGCTGAACGGGTGCGGACATGGGACGGGCCCAGCTGAACGGGTGCGGACATGGGACGGGCCCAGCTGAACGGGTGCGGACATGGGACGGGCCCTACTGAACGGGTGCGGACATGGGACGGGCCCAGCTGAACGGGTGCGGACATGGGACGGGCCCTACTGAACGGGTGCGGACATGGGACGGGCCCAGCTGAACGGGTGCTGACATGGGACGGGCCCTACTGAACGGGTGCGGACATGGGACGGGCCCTACTGAACGTGTGCAGACATGGGACGGGCCCTACTGAACGTGTGCAGACATGGGACGGGCCCTACTGAACGTGTGCAGACATGGGACGGGCCCTACTGAACGTGTGCGGACATGGGACGGGCCCTACTGAACGGGTGCGGACATGGGACGGGCCCTACTGAACGTGTGCAGACATGGGACGGGCCCTACTGAACGGGTGCGGACATGGGACGGGCCCTACTGAACGTGTGCAGACATGGGACGGGCCCTACTGAACGTGTGCAGACATGGGACGGGCCCTACTGAACGTGTGCAGACATGGGACGGGCCCTACTGAACGGGTGCAGACATGGGACGGGCCCTACTGAACGGGTGCGGACATGGGACGGGCCCTACTGAACGTGTGCAGACATGGGACGGGCCCTACTGAACGTGTGCAGACATGGGACGGGCCCTACTGAACGTGTGCAGACATGGGACGGGCCCTACTGAACGGGTGCAGACATGGGACGGGCCCTACTGAACAGGTGCAGACATGGGACGGGCCCTACTGAACGGGTGCAGACATGGGACGGGCCCAGCTGAACGGTTGCGGATATGAGACGCGCCCTACTGAATGGGTGCGGACATGGGACGGGCCCAGCTGAACGGTTGCGGACATGGGACGGGCCCAGCTGAACGGGTGCAGACATGGGACGGGCCCAGCTGAACGGTTGCGGATATGAGACGCGCCCTACTGAATGGGTGCGGACATGGGACGGGCCCAGCTGAACGGTTGCGGACATGGGACGGGCCCTACTGAACGGGTGCAGACATGAGACGGGCCCTACTGAACGGCTGCGGACATGAGACGGGCCCAGCTGAACGGGTGCAGACATGAGACGGGCCCAGCTGAACAGGTGCGGACATGGGACGGGCCCAGCTGAACGGTTGCGGACATGAGACGGGCCCTACTGAACGGGTGCGGACATGAGACGGGCCCAGCTGAACAGTTGCGGACATGAGACGGGCCCTACTGAACGGGTGCGGACATGAGACGGGCGCAGCTGAACGGGTGCAGACATGGGACGGGCCCTACTGAACGGGTGCGGACATGAGACGGGCCCAGCTGAACAGTTGCGGACATGAGACGGGCCCTACTGAACGGGTGCGGACATGAGACGGGCGCAGCTGAATGGGTGCGGACATGAGACGGGCCCAGCTGAACGGGTGCAGACATGGGACGGGCCCTACTGAACGGGTGCGGACATGAGACGGGCGCAGCTGAACGGTTGCGGACATGAGACGGGCCCAGCTGAACGGGTGCGGACATGAGACGGGCCCAGCTGAACGGGTGCGGACATGGGACGGGCGCAGCTGAATGGGTGCGGACATGAGACGGGCCCAGCTGAACGGGTGCAGACATGGGACGGGCCCTACTGAACGGGTGCGGACATGAGACGGGCGCAGCTGAACGGTTGCGGACATGAGACGGGCCCTACTGAACGGGTGCGGACATGAGACGGGCCCAGCTGAACGGTTGCGGACATGAGACGGGCCCAGCTGAACAGTTGCGGACATGAGACGGGCCCTACTGAACGGGTGCGGACATGAGACGGGCGCAGCTGAATGGGTGCGGACATGAGACGGGCCCAGCTGAACGGGTGCAGACATGGGACGGGCCCTACTGAACGGGTGCGGACATGAGACGGGCGCAGCTGAACGGTTGCGGACATGAGACGGGCCCAGCTGAACGGGTGCGGACATGAGACGGGCCCAGCTGAACGGGTGCGGACATGGGACGGGCGCAGCTGAATGGGTGCGGACATGAGACGGGCCCAGCTGAACGGGTGCAGACATGGGACGGGCCCTACTGAACGGGTGCGGACATGAGACGGGCGCAGCTGAACGGTTGCGGACATGAGACGGGCGCAGCTGAACGGTTGCGGACATGAGACGGGCCCAGCTGAACGGTTGCGGACATGAGACGGGCCCAGCTGAACGGGTGCGGACATGGGACGGGCCCAGCTGAACGGTTGCGGACATGAGACGGGCCCTACTGAACGGGTGCGGACATGAGACGGGCCCTACTGAACGGGTGCGGACATGAGACGGGCCCAGCTGAACGGGTGCAGACATGGGACGGGCCCAGCTGAATGGGTGCGGACATGAGACGGGCCCTACTGAACGGGTGCGGACATGGGACGTGCCCAGCTGAACGGGTGCAGACATGGGACGTGCCCAGCTGAACAGGTGCGGACATGAGACGGGCGCAGCTGAACGGTTGCGGACATGAGACGGGCCCAGCTGAACGGGTGCGGACATGGGACGGGCCCAGCTGAACGGTTGCGGACATGAGACGGGCCCTACTGAACGGGTGCGGACATGAGACGGGCCCTACTGAACGGGTGCGGACATGAGACGGGCCCTACTGAACGGGTGCGGACATGAGACGGGCCCTACTGAACGGGTGCGGACATGGGACGTGCCCAGCTGAACGGGTGCAGACATGGGACGTGCCCAGCTGAACAGGTGCGGACATGAGACGGGCCCAGCTGAACGGGTGCAGACATGGGACGGGCCCAGCTGAACAGGTGCGGACATGAGACGGGCCCAGCTGAACGGGTGCAGACATGAGACGGGCCCAGCTGAACAGGTGCGGACATGGGACGGGCCCAGCTGAACGGGTGCAGACATGGGACGGGCCCAGCTGAACGGGTGCAGACATGGGACGTGCCCAGCTGAACGGGTGCAGACATGGGACGGGCCCAGCTGAACGGGTGCGGACATGAGACGGGCCCAGCTGAACAGGTGCGGACATGGGACGTGCCCAGCTGAACGGGTGCAGACATGGGACGTGCCCAGCTGAACGGGTGCAGACATGGGACGGGCCCAGCTGAACGGGTGCAGACATGGGACGGGCCCAGCTGAACGGGTGCAGACATGGGACGGGCCCAGCTGAACGGGTGCAGACATGGGACGGGCCCAGCTGAACGGGTGCAGACATGAGACGGGCCCAGCTGAACGGGTGCAGACATGAGACGGGCCCTACTGAACGGGTGCAGACATGGGACGGGCCCAGCTGAACGGGTGCAGACATGAGACGGGCCCAGCTGAACGGGTGCAGACATGAGACGGGCCCTACTGAACGGGTGCGGACATGGGACGGGCCCTACTGAACGGTTGCGGACATGAGACGGGCCCTACTGAACGGTTGCGGACATGAGACGGGCCCAGCTGAACGGTTGCGGACATGAGACGGGCCCTACTGAACGGGTGCGGACATGAGACGGGCCCTACTGAACGGGTGCAGACATGAGACGGGCCCTACTGAACGGGTGCGGACATGGGACGGGCCCAGCTGAACGGTTGCGGACATGAGACGGGCCCAGCTGAACGGTTGCGGACATGAGACGGGCCCTACTGAACGTGTGCAGACATGGGACGGGCCCTACTGAACGGGTGCGGACATGGGACGGGCCCAGCTGAACGGGTGCGGACATGGGACGGGCCCTACTGAACGGGTGCGGACATGGGACGGGCCCAGCTGAACGGGTGCGGACATGGGACGGGCCCTACTGAACAGGTGCGGACATGAGACGGGCCCAGCTGAACGGGTGCAGACATGGGACGGGCCCTACTGAACAGGTGCGGACATGAGACGGGCCCAGCTGAACGTGTGCAGACATGGGACGTGCCCAGCTGAACGGGTGCAGACATGAGACGGGCCCAGCTGATGGAGCGGGTGCAGCTGTTCAGCGCCAGGCAGACCCGCGTGTGGCCAAGGGCTCCGGCCTTCACACTGCAGAAGTGTTGCTGGAACAACTGCTTAAACAGCCATCGACTGCCAAGGTAATGTACATCACTGAGGGGGAATTTAGATTGTCTCTAAGAGCGGGGAGATTCCTTGGCGAGTTCTCAGCTGCTTCTGTGCAGATCCCCATCCTCGCCAGTGTTCTGGTCTCAAACATGGCGACACACTGGGAGCCCAGAACGTGGAGACTGCATTGGGATCACCAAGTGCAAACACTTCCCAGCCCCATCTGAACCCATCATAGACCAGCCTGAGGGACTGGCTGGGAGTGGGTGTGCGGGACGGTATGATGGGGATCCTAACCCTGGCACTATACGGATGTGGACCCTGAGGGCTGTGCTCTGGTGGGAACCATGAGTCATATTGGCAAAAAAAAGTTCTTCTGGCCAATGAGAGACGATGTCATTTGGTACCGGCCAGAAGATGTGATCAGGCTGGTCCCAGAGCCTCAACCAGTAACAAAGAGGCATGTGATAATAAGAAATATGCTCTGTCCTTGACCATGGAACATAACTGAGCCTCTTGCCCATATGCAAGATTACAGAAACAGTATTTAGCAAAAACAATGTCTACTTAGTCAGATTCAAGTTGTTATTCCACATGATTACGTTTGACAGTACATGGATTAACGACATTACACACATGTCAGTAACGTTTAAGTACAGAGTGTTTGCTCTGGTTCAGCATTAGGCATAAAGCATATAAGTTCTTGAGTTCAAAATATTGCCTATTTTTTCTGTTATTCAACTGGTTATATTAAGGTTACATTAAGGTAATGATGACATAAAGGGTTTGCTCTAGTGTGTCCTAGTTCAGCATGTAGAAATCAGTGAAGTAATGATTTGCTGATTTTGAACACATGTTTTTTCATTTTTTGAATTGTTTTTCATTAAAAAATATTGATTATATGTTTTTGTTCACAAATGCTGTTGCTTATTGGCTTGCTCTGGTTCACCACATAGAGCAGTAGAAAAACAGTTTTAACTGGAAGTTGCCTATCTATGTTTTGCTATGTGATGGAAATGACCGTTTTCTTGGACTGTCAGTTCACGAGTTCACACTTACAAATAAGTCAGATAAACTAAATGTGTATTTGGCGTGCTGTCCGAGGAGAGGGCTCCGGGCTCGGTATTCGGCCCGAACCCAGAGTACTCCCCCCGTATTGCTGGTTAAGAAGTAATGTGAGGAGACGGGGTGGTGGAGGGATGCTGAAAAACTGTAGAGGAACATTGGTGAGTCAAATAGGCTTTATGCCGAGCGTCACGTGACCAAGCCGGAAAACAGATCACATCGCTTCCGATTCAGGTCTTTGGTATGTGCTTCATGAATTTTTTTGCGGTTTTACTCAAGATAACTTAAAATGAGCATAACCAATGTCCCTCGCATGTGCAGATTGATATTGATAAGTTTTTTAATTTTTCTTCTTCACACTAACGTTTAGATATTTAAATAGCATAAAACACCAATAACAAAGTGAACTTAGTAGGTTAGCTGATTACCTTAAAAATCCATAGATATCGTAGTTAGTTCTTACGGCCGTTAACACTTTCTCTGACAAGCGGATGCAGTGAGACCTGTTTTCCGGTTTGGTCACGTGACGCTCGGCATAAAGCCTAATGAGTGTATATATAGGTCTCCAACTCAAGCTGATTGGATAGACATGTTGATTGCTGATTGTCGACAGCTGGTTGGTATGATGTGATAATTGGATCAATTATCTGAACGTGCTCCTCCCGAACTTTGTTTGTAAAACATCATATAAAAATGGCTAAATGTATATATATATTAATCAATACACATCATCACAGCCAACTTAAGGGAAGGTTTCCAGACAGATTGAGAAACCAACTGATACTAAAAAACTGTTTGTAGAAATGTTTTTATTTTCTGAAACTGTCTATAGCTCAAAGAGTACCACAGCTGAAGAATTACCCTTGTATTATTACGTTAATAAATATTATTAAGTAAATGTCATCTTCACAAAGGCAGAACCATTCACTGTATTTGAGCATTAAACATTTTTTGGTGTGGCAGAGTGCATGTAAGAGTTTGTTGCTGGTGTGCAATGTGTTATTAATTGTGAGTTATTTGAGCAGTTGCAGGTATTTATGGTAGCATTTATGAATTATTTGAAAAGAAATCTCTTTTACTTTATTGGTTGAATAAAGAGAGATGTGGAAGCATCCACACTTTTTTCCAACAGATATTACCAACTAAATGACTCCAATAAGCGGTCACAGGCGGTAAAGTAACCATGTCTTGCTGAAATAGTGAACGGACTGATCTATTAGTGTTTTTATTGTGAGAAGCAAAGCACAATTTGCCAACGGGAGTATTGACCAAACTCAGAGAGACCGGAAGAAGAGAATGAGTTCCTCTCAGTAAAGCAAGAGCACCTGATGGGATCGAACCCTAACTATCGAACATGCTTTGGGAGAAACAGGACATTGAAAATGATCTAGAAGTTCCTCATATGAAAACAACAGCCCTTGAGAATTGATTAATTGACTGACTAACAAGATATCTTTATCAAACCAATTCTGAAAAAATATAGATTTATTCTTGTATAAAATATTACAGTTATTCCAAATAAAATATTTATGAGGTGAAAAGTTGTGCTTAAATATCAAAGACCAAGCCAAAAGTGACTGCTTATGAAAAGCAGATAATATTGCTGGTAATTTTTCAATTTTGTAGTTACATAACAGAAGAAAATCCAGACCACCAAACTGAGAGAAAAAAAAACATAATTAGTAATAAAGTTCCATAAAGACACTGGGCTCTTTTTAAACTGTTTTATCCAGTTAATTTTAAAGGTAGTAGTAGTACTTTATTGGTCAGCCTTGGCTGAAAATTGGTCTTTGGTCTCGCCATACAATCACAAAACAATTAACAATACACAATACACAATATACATACATAAGAATGAAAATATTCACATTACTTCCTCTTATTCAAAAGACTTATTGCATTTGGTACAAATCGCTTTAATCGCTTTTGGTGTTCTATGGTGACGACGTGATGGCAATATTTCAAAAACATGATTCAGTGTGTGTGTGTGTGTAGTGTCTCTCGCTATAGTCACAGCGTTCCTCTGAACAGCGATGTGATATCACTGTGCCACCGATGTTTGTTTAGATCCTACAATTTCCCTGCAACTCTTGTAATTCTGTCTAATTTTACTTTATTCACAGATGTAACTCGTCCAAACCACACAGTTATATTATACCCTAAAACACTCTCAATTAAACTTATATAAACTCTTTGCAGAACATCCTGACTTACAGAACATTCTCTCAACTTCCTTAGCAGGGCTAACCTTTGAGACACACACGGCTTTGCTTTGCTGATCGCTGATCGATTGCTCCTGTCTGCCTCGCTGCCTGCTGTGTGTTTGTTTGCTTCGAGGCTGTAAGCTCCGCCTGAGCCTCGTATTTCTTTATGTTTTGAGCCATCATTACTATCTAGTTGTTTATACTACTAAATACAGTTTACCCAACATCTCAGATTAACCTTACATCTCTAGCTTCCGTTATTGTTAACACAGCACGCTAGTAACTCGCTAACGTTAGCCTGCTAACGCGCCACCCGTGCGCTCATTTATATATTTATTTTCTCTCGCGCGCCCGCGCCTTTGAGTTTATAAAGTCCAGGTAAGTAAGAACTAAGAAATCAGTCAACAAACACGGTGAGTAATGTCTTCTTGTCCTGTTATTGTCACCTGTGTCACATGTCATATGTTTAGTATAGCCTTCTCCGATGGCAATATAGGATTTATATGTGATAAATGCAAGGAGACAGTCAGGCTGACAGAGAAGATTTCAGAACTAGAGACACGCATCCAAACTTTAATTGAGGATGGTAAGAATGCTAGATCTTTAGATAGTGTTTTGGATGCGCCTAGCATAGTGAACTCTTTACATGATACGGTTCCGGCTGAAGTAGAGCCCGTGCAGCAGGGCAGATGGGTGACTGTGAGAGATCACCGCTCTAGTCGCGGATCAAAGAACCACTCTTCCGTTCCGATTCCCATAACAAATCGATTTGCCCCACTCAGTGAAACACCCACTGAGAATCCTGTTGATTGTGCCCTGGTAATTGGTGATTCGATCACACGGAACGTGAAAATAGAGACACCAGCCACCATAGTCACATGTTTGCCGGGAGCCAGAGCGCCTGACATCAAAGCAAATTTAAAAGTGCTGGCTAATGCTAATCGTAAATTCTCTAAGATTATTATTCATGTCGGCACTAATGATGTTCGACTCCACCAGTCGGAGATCACCAAAATTAATATTAAAGAGGTGTGTGAACTCGCAAGTACGATGTCAGGCACTGTAATTTGCTCTGGCCCCCTTCCTGTACGCAGGAGTGATGAGATAGTTAGCCGATTGGCCTCACTGAATGGTTGGCTGTCGAAGTGGTGTCCGCAGAATAATATAAAATTCATAGACAATTGGAAAAGTTTTTGGGGCAAGCCTGACCTGTTGAAAAGAGATGGTATCCATCCCTCCTGGGCTGGTGCTGCTCTTCTCTCTAGTAATTTGGCTCATAGTCTTAGAGCTAAAACATGACAATCTGGGGCTCAGGTCAGGAAGCAGACAGACTGGCTAAACCGACCGTCTGCTAGCGGCCTCACGTCACCAAGGTCAGATAAATCCCATCACATAGAGCCTCTTTCACCTAGATATCATCATATAGAGACTGTGTCTGTTCCCCGAATTTGGAAATCCAAAAAACGTCAGGTTAAAAATTTAATTGATGTTCAACAAATAAAAAACAGATATAATACAGATGAGCAAATGATAAAGCTTGGGTTGCTGAATATTCGATCCCTTACTTCAAAATCTCTTATAGTTAATGATATGATTTCAGATAATAATCTAGATGTGCTGTGTTTGACAGAAACCTGGCTAAAACCAAACGATTACATTATTTTAAATGAGTCAACCCCACAAGATTACAGTTATAAACATGAACCTCGTCTGAAAGGCAAAGGGGGAGGTGTTGCTGTAATTTATAGTAATATTTTCAAAACCACTAAGAAATGTAGCTTTAAATATACTTCTTTTGAAGTATTGGTGCTTAATGTAAAAATATATAGTGTAAACGATAAATCACATTTGAGAATTCTGCTGGCTACTGTATACAGGCCACCAGGGCACCATAAAGATTTTATCAAAGAATTTGCGGACTTTCTATCAGATTTAGTATTGGCTGCAGATAAAGTACTAATTGTTGGTGATTTTAATATACATGTAGATAATGAAAAAGATGCATTGGGATTGGCATTTAAAGATATTGTAAACTCAATTGGAGTTAAACACGTGTCGGGACCTACTCATTGTCGTAATCATACTCTAGATCTAATATTATCACATGGAATAGATGTTGATGCTGTTGAAATTCTGCAGCAGAGCGATGACATCTCAGATCATTATCTAGTCTCATGTAAATTACATTTAGCCAAGGCTGCAAAGCCGACTCCGTGTTATAAATACGTTAGACCTATAACTTCTGCCACTAAAGATTGCTTTATCAATAATCTTCCTAATTAGTTTCATCATCTCAGCATCCCGGATAGCTTAGAAGAACTCGATATTGCAACAGAAACGTTTAACTCTCTCTTTTCCAGCACTTTAGACGCAGTTGCTCCGTTGCGCTTAAAGAAGATTAAAGAAAATAGTCCAACGCTGTGGTACAACGAGCACACACACACACACACACACACACACAGGCCCTTAAGAGAGCAGCCAGAAAAATGGAGCGCAACTGGAAGAAAACTAAACTAGAGGTATTTCGGATTTCATGGAAAGAGAGCTCGATTGCTTACAGAGAGGCTTTAAAAGCTGCTAGATCTGCTTATTTTTCAACCCTATTAGAAGAAAATAAACATAATCCTAGGTATTTATTTGAAACAGTGGCTAAACTAACGAAAAAGAAAGCTTCAAGCTCAGAGTCAAAGCAACACGGCAGTGATGACTTTATGAACTTCTTGACTTATAAGATTGATAATATCAGGGACAAAATTATAACTATGCAACCGTCTACCACAGTATCGCATCAGGAAGTGCATTGTAGTCTCCATGAGGAAAAGTTTGATTTATTTGTTGCTATAGGAGAGGAAGAATTCTGCAAACTCGTTAAATCATCTAAATCGACAACTTGTATGTTAGATCCTATACCGACTAAGCTACTGAAAGAGATGCTTCCAGAGGTCATATATCCTCTTCTTACTATCATTAATTCGTCTTTGTCTCTAGGATACGTACCAAAAACCTTTAAACTGGCTATGATAAAACCGCTTGTTAAAAAACCACAACTTGATCCTACAGAATTAGTCAATTACAGGCCGATCTCGAATCTGCCTTTTCTGTCAAAGATATTAGAAAAAGCAGTATCTTCACAACTATGTTCCTTTCTAGAAAGAAATGATATCTGCGAGGATTTTCAGTCAGGATTTAGACCGTACCATAGCACTGAGACCGCTCTCATCAGAGTCACAAATGATTTGCTCTTATCATCCGATCGTGGTTGTATCTCTCTATTAGTGTTACTTGATCTTAGTGCTGCATTTGACACCATTGACCACAATATTCTTTCAAATAGACTAGAAAACTATGTTGGCATTAGTGGAATTGCATTAGCATGGTTTAAATCATACTTATCTGACCGTTATCAGTTTGTAGCAGTAAATGAAGAGATGTCTTATCGATCACAAGTTCAGTATGGCGTACCACAAGGCTCAGTACTAGGACCGCTGCTGTTCACTCTGTACATGCTACCCTTAGGAGATATCATTAGGAAACATGGAGTTAGCTTTCACTGTTATGCCGATGATACTCAGCTGTATATTTCTTCAAAACCCAACGAAACTTACCAATTCACAAAATTAACGGAATGCATAGCTGATATAAAAAATTGGATGACTAGTAATTTCCTACTACTAAATTCTGAAAAGACAGAGATTCTAATTATTGGACAAAAAACTTCCACACGTAATAACCCAGAATACTGTCTAACACTTAATGGCTGCTCTGTCAAGTCTTCGTCGTCGGTTAGGAACCTGGGTGTGCTATTTGATACCAACCTTTATTTTGAAAGCCACGTGTCTAGTATCTGTAAAACCGCATTTTTCCATCTTAAAAATATATCTAAATTACGCCATATGCTCTCATTGGGAAATGCGGAACAATTAGTCCATGCGTTCATGACCTCAAGGCTAGATTATTGTAATGCTCTATTGGGTGGTTGCCCTGCACGCTTAATAAACAAACTACAGCTAGTTCAAAACGCCGCAGCTCGAGTTCTTACCAGAACCAGGAAATATGACCATATTAGCCCGGTTCTGTCAACACTGCATTGGCTCCCTATTAAACATCGTATACATTTTAAAATAGTTGATTACCTACAAAGCACTAAATGGCTTAGCTCCGCAGTACTTGAGCGAGCTCTTAACGCATTATAGTCCTTCACGTCTATTGCGATCTCAAAATTACGGCCAGTTGATAATACCTAGAATATCTAAATCGACTGCTGGCGGGAGATCCTTTTCCCTTTTAGCACCAAAACTCTGGAACAGTCTTCCTACCATTGTCCGGGAAGCAGACACACTCTGTCAGTTCAAAGCTAGACTAAAAACACATCTCTTTGACCTAGCATACACATAATACATTATAGACTTCTATAAATTCAATGTTAGGCTGCATAGATTAGGTCAGCCGGAACTGGGAACACTTCCCTTAAATCTTGATGTACTCGCTACATCATAAGAAGAATGGCATCTACGCTAATATTAGTGTCTTTGTTTATCCCGAGGTTTTCCCGCAGCCTGCCGGATCCAGGCCGTGTCCAGATCTGACGAAGGAGATTCGCCTGGACCCGATGACAATGCAGTGCTGAAGTATCCACTATCCTCTCCCTATGGAGGATCCCTTTCCCACTCTACAGATAAAGCGCTGTGAATTCCGGCTCGCGTACCCCGAAGTGATAAAATAAAACAAAATTCTGTATCAAAATTTATAGGCAAGAAAAGTAGTTTGTTTAGGCTGGGTTGTATGAATTACAAACCTGCGCACATATTTTAAAAAGCACATAACTATAGAATTCTGAATGAGCATGTGAACGCCGTCTGCGTTAATCACAGGTTCCCGTTTAAAGTCTGATCATTTCGACAGAGGTGAATCAATCAAAGTTAACTTTAGCTGGAAGTAACATTATTCAAGAACCGCTATAACGCCAAAACAATCTGTTACCTTAAATTATATGTTTATCTCTGTAAAGCTGCTTTGAAACAATTCATTGTTAAAAGCGCTATATAAATGAAGATGACTTGACTTGACTTGACTTGACTTGACTTGACTTGACTTGACTTGACTTTGATTTGCTTTCTTACAAATAAGATTAACATTATCAGAGAAATTCAATTACAGTCAATCATGGTTCCCAAATACTTGAAAGTCTTCACAATTTCAACTGTTTGATGACGTAACATTAAGGTACGCACCATGAAAAAAGCAAAGGAAAAATTATTTCTTTGCATTTTTTATTCAATTATGATAACAATAACAACAATCCAAAAAAAAAATTAATTAGACCTTACAGTATTTTAGATACAATCCTCTACCAAACGGTTGAGACGTCTGTTCATAATAAAAGAACAACATTCAGAACAAGTAATATTAAGTGCATTTTCTTGACCAATAAGAAAATCTGATGGCTGCTATTGATGGCTCTTACAATGCTAGTCATATAGTAATACACAAACATAGTCAATTTTAAATTATGAAATTAATAGTAACACCAGAATTGGTATTAATTCTTCAAATGTATTCTTGATATTTACCATAATACAGTACAGAAATGCTGAAAAAATGATATTGATCAAATATTTTTGATCAAATATGTAATTGAATAATATTAAAATTAATCATTTTAACAACACTAACCCTTTTGTTCATTGTAAATAGCTAATTTTACCAACATTAGCTAATTTTATTAGCTAATTTTTACTACCTTAAAAGGACAATTCAACTGTTTGGTAGAGCATGTTTAAAAAAAATTATTTGACCCTTATAAGACTTATTTTTGTTTAATTAAGTTACATAATTCTGTTTAACAACTCCTCTGAAACGATAATATGTCAACCAAATAGTCTTACCTTTAAAAGTCCCGCCGATATGCGTCATCAAAGGAGGTGTCATGTGCTGTTTGAAGGAACACTGAAATGGCATGCTGCTCACAGACACAGTGCCATCTAGTGGATTTTTTTTAGCATTGCACAACTACACCAAACGGTAGAGATGGCTCATTCAGGTTGAGTTAAGCTTGATGCATTTTTCAATAAAATATAGTGACTTTAAGTGTGGTCTACCAAATGGTTGAGTAGTACCTTAAAGGGTTAATTCTGTTAGAGGCTCTGAATGATTTGAATTCAACTCTTTTGTTTTACTTACATTTATCAATAAGGAACTTGCCTTGCAGCATTTGTCTAGTTCCAGGACCTGCTCCTCGTACTCACTGTGCACAGTCTTTCCATTAAAGTGCCACAAGTGCCATATCATCTGCATATTTTATTATTTTATATTTATAATTCTCTTACACCACCTGTATAAACAGAAAATAAAAGAGGTGACAGGACACATCCGTATTTAAAAACATGTGGTAACACTTTATAATAACTACACACTATTAATCATTAGTTAAGCATGAGTAAACTGTTAACTCATCATTTATAAAGCATTAATAGACATTAATAAGCAGTTTATAAATACAGCTATAAATGCTTTCTTCTTGATTTACAAGCATATCCATAATGTGTTTAATAATTGTATTTTCATCCTTTATTAATGATCAATTTATAATTTCTAAATGAAGTATAGCATTTTTTATAAACCAGTTATTTAGGAGTTGTCAGTGATTCATAAGATTACTTAGAAAGTGTGAGTAAATGATTAATAAACTATTGAAATGTACATTCATACATCTTATTATTCAGACATATAGTAATAGTTACTTAGTGTGTTAATAAATGCTTTATTAACATGTATTTCTACTGTAATTCAGGGTTAATTCGGGTAGTTATAAAGCATTTAGTAGTGGTCAGTTAACTATGTTTGTGAGCTCATCTAAAGTGAGGACTATTCATGCCTTGTAAAGCATTTATAAAGGAGATTTAAAGGCTGTCAAATATTTCTATGATCTGTATCACTGTGCTGTGTTTGTTTCATTTTTCAGTTTAGAAGATAACTGAGACTTTAAATCTCCTTTATAAATGTTTTACAAGGCATGATTAGTCCACTCCTCACTTTAGATGAGCTCACACAAATAGTTAACTGACCACTACTAAATGCTTTATAACTACCTGAATTTACTACATTTACTTACACTTTCTAAGTGATCTTATGAATCACTGACAACTCTTAAATAACTGGTTTGTAAATAATGCTATACTTCATTTAGAAATTATTAATTGATCATTAACAAAGTATGAAAATACAATTATTAAACACATTATAGATATGCTTTTAAATCAAGAAAAAAGCTATTATAGCTGTATTTACAAACTGCTTATTAATGTCTATTAATGCTTTATAAATGATGCATTAACTGTTTACTCATGCTTAACTAATGATTAATAGCGTGCAGTTATTATAAAGTGTTACCAAAAACATGATATCTGATTTGAAGCTCCTAACACACACTTGCTGTGGTCTATTAGTTAGGAAGTTCTGTATCCGGTGAACTATTCCTCCATCACACCAACACCAGGAGACGCTCCAGGAGCAGATGGTGTTAGAGGCAGAGGTGTAGTCAGGGAAGAACATGCACAAGCCTTTGCTCGCTGTGGATGGCCGTGGAGAGCATGGCATCCTCTGTCCCTCTCTGTGGTTGTGTGCAGATTGCAGTCCATCTCGTTGCTCTGAGATGTGTGGTTTAAGGTGGTCTCTGGCTACTCTCTCCGTGCTTCAGCGAGTATAGACGTCAGAGCCACAGGACCAAAGTCCTCTACATGTTTTGCTCTCACTTTTTTCGGAAGAGGTCGTGTAAATGATAACTTCCGTGTATTTGGTACGATCTGTAAGTCTAATAAAAACTGGAATAATTTTGTTAGGGGGTCGGTTAATTCATTTGCACATGTGTTTTAAAACCCTTCCTCTGAGGCCATCTGGACCTGGTGCTCTATAGGGCTCAAAGGGACCTTCGGATTGGCTCGCCGGTCAGCCAAACCGCTGGAATCCCATTTCTTCAATCTTATTGTAATTGTCAGCCACGTCATATCTTCCATAAAACAGATTCAGATCATTTACCCATTTAAAACCATCTGTCCCTATAGGAATATCATTATTTACATCTCTCGGGTCACGCCCCATCATCTCATTCAAGCCTTGCATTGATTCGCTAACCGATCCTCTACCTTGCATTTAAAGTCAATGTTTGCTTTTTCTATCAGCTCTCAGTTCCTTCCTTTTCATTTTAAAACCCTCATAATTATTTTCACGAAATGCCCAATTCTTTTCATTAAGGAGTTTCTTTGAATCTTTAGAGAGCCATGGCTTATTATTTGAGAAGACTTTAACCACTTTAGTATCAATAACGGTTCCTTCACAGAAGTGAATATGGAGGTAATGCAGTCGGCCAGTTCGTGAGGGTCTCGGCATGAAGCAACAAAGACATCCCAGTTTGTACAGTCCTTTAACATGTCTTCTTTATCCTTACTCCAAACCTGAATTCTCTTTTCCACTGGCTTGTCTCTTCTGACACATTGTCTATATGTTGGCAGAAGAGACAAAGAGTGTTTCAAAGAGTTTGAGTTTTTCCACAAAAACTTAAAGAGTATCTGGTCAATAATTGCAACGCTGCAGATTGGGGTGGGAGAAGGAAGGATTACAATAGATTTTTATTGAGAAACAAAAAAGTTTCAAGTGTGTTGGGGTTTAGACGATTCCTCTTTTTGGACAAAACCTCTCCAGCCTTGGAAAAGATCCATTCACAAGGAACAGAGGATGCAGGGGAACATGAAAACGCCAGTTCCTATGGGATGATTATAGTATCAAAATGATTAACACGTGCAAGCACACTTATCAATGAACTTGATACATGTTGCAGAAATGTTTTATCCATGCCTTTCAACTTGTGTGTGCAAAATTCAAAATTGAATGAATGTGAAGCAATTTGTACAAATAGAGACATTTTTGTGAATACAAATGTTTTCCTTTGTATTAGTGTATCATAATTTGCACATGCAACACAGAAGACGTGCATGTGTGGATCAGGTGACACGCGTGCATTCATTGACTCGATTCATTGAGTCGATCCTATTTGATTCATTTGGATTTTGAGACTTTCATTTCGCGGGTTTCGCCTTGCACGATCCACACACAGCTGTCTGAGAAAAGCTGCTACCACTAGATGGCAGTATTCTGCTAAAACAGACAACGGCAGCATAATCAAGCGTTCTTCCGCATTTAAGACGCTTAATGAGAGTGATATTGAAGCACCAAATTTAGTACACAATAATATAGGCCTACCCTATTAATAAAGCATACTTTATAGAGGCAAACATTACGTCAGATTATGAACAACACCCATAGAAAACCATTATAAAACGCTTAACGTGCAATCGCGCGTTGCATGTTCAGTAAGGTGTATTGGCTACTGAGTTTAAATATCACCGTCTTACTGCATTGACGTTAAGCTTTTTCTTTATAATATGCTCTATGGGAGGAAAACTATATAGCCTACAGACAAGAGACTACATGAACGCAATGTACGGCGTTTCAAGTTAATAACATTTTCCTTCCCGAGCCTGTTAAAAAGAAAAAGCTTAATATGAAATAAAAATTCTGCAGTTGCGTTTAACTTTGCATGTGAATGGGAGAGCAACCGGTCCGAGAGTGCAGTGAAGTTTGATATTCGCCTCATTTTATAAAGGGACCATCTGCAAACTCCACTCACAGTCAAAAAAATATAAACGTCCAGTCATTCATTCAAATGAACATATTTCCAAGGTTATATTATAACCTTGGAAGTCTAGTGGGCAGACTGACTTAGCCTACTGTTACTGTACTATGTCCAGCCAATATCTCGATTGAACAGTAGCCTACAATTTTTTAATTTACTGTAAATTGTTTTTCTATTCATGTTCCAAAGGTTGTAGTACGTTCCTAGTGACAAGTCAGGTGAAATTTTACATTATTCACTTGTAGTAAGTCACCAAAAACCCGTTTGGTTAATTACAGTAATTTTTTTATCAAATAATAATTGTTTACTAAATAGGCTACATGAAGGGAGTTATTGGGGCAATTTCACCTGTAGTAAGCCAGTCTAGTCACTGAACATACTACAACCATTTTGAACATGAAAAAACCCTTTTGGTGAATTACAGTATTTTTCTGCAGAATACAGGCTACATGAAGGGAAGTATTGTCCAAATTTTACTTGTAAGTCAGTCTTACAGAAACCTTCTACGAGCTTTGGAATTTGAAAATGTCTGTTATTAAATTTAAAAAGTAATTTGAATTAAAACAAATTATACGTTTTAACCACTGATCTATATAGAATGACATTATAGATCAGTGGTTTTAACGCAGTTAGTGGAACTGGCAGACGTTCCCTTGTGCATCATGAGCTGTGGTTAGCGCGTCAAAGCATTCTCGTGTAGAAATATGCAGCTACAGGCCCGCTACGCCAGTTGATTTTCAATTAATATTTCATGTCGATATACAATGGTTGCATATTGTTAAAACTCATCGTGCTATAGTAAGACTATAGCCTATGGCTTAAGGGTCAAGGGAAAACAAATGTACTGCGAAAATCGTCTTTAATATTTAAAAACAGACATTTTCAAATTCCTGCTTGTATACTATGTACACAATGTGTAGTCAGATAAAAATAAGCATATAATATGAACGCAACTGCGAAATTTCACCTTTTTTTAACAGGAAGGAAAATTGTATTAACTTGAAACGCCGTGCGTTGCGTTCATGTAGTCTCTTGTCTGTAGGCTATATAGTTTTCCTCCCATAGAGCATATTATAAAGAAAAAGCTTAACGTCAATGCAGTAAGACGGTGATATTTAAACTCAGTAGCCAATACACCTTACTGAACATGCAACGCGCGATTGCACGTTAAGCGTTTTATAATGGTTTTCTATGGGTGTTGTTCATAATCTGACGTAATGTTTGCCTCTATAAAGTATGCTTTATTAATAGGGTAGGCCTATATTATTGTGTACTAAATTTGGTGCTTCAATATCACTCTCATTAAGCGTCTTAAATGCGGAAGAACGCTTGATTATGCTGCCGTTGTCTGTTTTAGCAGAATACTGCCATCTAGTGGTAGCAGCTTTTCTCAGACAGCTGTGTGTGGATCGTGCAAGGCGAAACCCGCGAAATGAAAGTCTCAAAATCCAAATGAATCAAATAGGATCGACTCAATGAATCGAGTCAATGAATGCACGCGTGTCACCTGATCCACACATGCACGTCTTCTGTGTTGCATGTGCAAATTATGATACACTAATACAAAGGAAAACATTTGTATTCACAAAAATGTCTCTATTTGTACAAATTGCTTCACATTCATTCAATTTTGAATTTTGCACACACAAGTTGAAAGGCATGGATAAAACATTTCTGCAACATGTATCAAGTTCATTGATAAGTGTGCTTGCACGTGTTAATCATTTTGATACTAAAATTATCCCATAGTTCCCGCTGGTGTAAACGAGGATACCGATGCTTCTGTTGAGCCCAGACGGGGGACGATCTCCTCTTTATTGCGGCTCCATTACCAGGAAAAAGGAAGAGCAAATAAAATCCAAAAGGGCAATCCAAAACAAAAAGCAGTCCAGTCCAGATCCAAAAATCCAAAACAATCCAAATAATCTTATCTAATTAATATAACAAGACCATAATATAATTATTAATGACAATATACTATACGTTTTCTAACCTGATATAATGTAATAATATACAGCCCTTACACATGACACAACAATGCCAATGAGATTCCTCTAACTCCCAGACTCTCTGACACCACTACACCTGCTCCTGCGACTCCTGCAACAGCCGGAAGGTGGCGCGAGTTTCGCCGTTTGTCATTAGTCACGTGATTTTCCAACACAAGCCTCGAATCGCGCTTCGTCTGGCACGCCCATTTCTCCCGACACAAGCTCCGACGTCGGTTCACACGTCACAGCACAAGAGCTGGCCTCGAGGCTGAGCGGAACTGAAACAAACTCGAGCTCAGACTCGCAGAAAGAGACTCGCGATGCGGATTCAGATGCGCAATGAAGCTCCGCGGCTCTGAAGTGTGTGTGTCACTGCTGGTGTGTGTGTCACTGGGTGAGTCCCGCATTACTGTGTGTTAGTGACGATAAAGTGTGTGTTCCTCTAGTGCTGCTGTAACACTGGCTTTATCTGGCTTTAAACGTGCAGGGCTGTGTGTGTGTGTGTGTGTGTGTGTGTGTGTGTCAGTTCGCTTGTAGTTCAAGTTCATTTTATTTATAGCACCTTTACAACAGCTAGACTGACCAAAGTGCTTTACAGAACAACCATAAAACCTGCATAACAACACATGAAACACAAATAAAAGCAGCAAAGCTAAGAGTACTCTATTTTAAATCATTTAGTAGTGTCAGTAGTGCGTGAGCTCTCAGCGGTCACAGCTCATTAAGGGTTAGTTCACCCAAAAGTAGTTCTGCCGTTTAACACTGCCCCTCATGTCGACGCTGGTCACGTGGTGTAAACAGTGCAGCGCTTCCGGGTTGTGCGTCAGAACGCGGCTCAGTATTGGCTGGCTTATGCGTCACGTGACCAGTGTCAGAGACTGACGGAAGATAAGAAATGGTTGGGCACTTTTTTTTTTTTTCTCGCACAAAAAGTGTTCTCGTCGCTTCATTACATTAGTGTTGAATCACTGTAGTTACATGGACTATTTGAACGATGTATTTACTCATTTTCTGGGTCTTGAAAGTGGTCGTCGTAGTCTCTGGAGGAACAGAAAGCTCTCGGGTGTCGTCGAACATATCTTGTGTTCCGAAGAATGACGAAGGTCTTACGGGTTTGGACCCACATGAGAGTGAGTCATTGGACAGAAACTTCTTCATAACACACACACGATTTCATTATCCTGGGGGAAAGTGTAGGTCTCGTGTCTTGGTTTCATGTTGAAAGGGTGTGTGTGTGTGAATGTTTAGATCTGGTGACTTTTCTTCATACAGTCTTTGTTTAGCGTGTAAAACAGCACGAGCCCCTCGCCTCGGATCCCACTGTACCGGGCCGGGTATAGACATCAGGAGGCTGAAGCTCACCCCATCACTGACCAGCTCATGGTTAAAACTAATAATGCCACTAGATGGGCTACATTTGTTTTCTACACTTTAAAAAATAATTTGTTTTGTTTAAAAAACGTTTTTTACCTCATTGCGACTTTTTTTTTTTATCTGTCAGGATTTTTTTTTTTTTTTTGCAGTAATTTATTTATTGTAACACTAGTGGAAGTGATAGAAATAAACTACTAAATAAAAAGTCTAGCTAATTTCTTCAACTGTAATCGTGTGCTTATTCATATGCTTAAAATTGCATACTTAGAAAAGATTGAAAAACGATTTAAAAAAAGTCTATTATGCAGTAAATGTAGGCTAATCATCTGCGTTTTAGAAGATATAGGCCTACAGACAGTTTAGGCAATAATAGTTGAGGAACTGTTTTGAAACATAATAATCAATGCTCTGGTATAGTGCGCTTCCTCTTTGACTGACACATTTCTTTACTTTGTCTTTAGTGTTTTGCGAGTCAGCTCATGGGCTGGAAATCGATTCCTTGATTCAGTTAGGAATCAAGATTCATGTTTAATTTATTTATAAAGCACATTATAAACAACCTTGGTTGACCAAAGTCCTGTACAAGAAATATCTAGGTCCATCACCAAAATCAAAATAAACATTCACAAGACATTAAAAGCACAAGAGTACAAATAGGTTTGTGAAAGACGTGTAAACGTCTTGATAGATGACGGCAGCTTGTTCCATAACCTGGGGCCAGCTACTGCTAAGGCTCAGTCCGGGTCTGGGTCTGGGTCCGGGTCTGGGTCTGGGTCCGGGTCCGGGTCCGGGTCTGGGTCTGGGTCTTGGTCCGGGTCAGGCTCTGGGTCCGGGTCCGGTCCGGGTCAGGGTCTGGGTCCGGGTCAAGGTCCGGGTCAGGGTCTGGGTCCGGTCTGGGTCGGGCTCTGGGTCCGGGTCAAGGTCCGGGTCAGGGTCTGGGTCCGGGGGTCTCATTTATAAAGCGTGCGTACGCACAAAACGGGGCTGGAAACGTACGTACGCCAGTTTCCACGCAAAGGTTGTGATCTATAAAAAACAAACTTGACGGGAGAATGTGCGCACCTTCAAGCAAACTTTGAGCCGTGCGTACGCACGTTTTGGAGACGCAGTTTGGCGACACCGATGGTGAGCTGGAGCTAAATGTCTTTTTGGTCACTTTTAGACCGAAAATCTAAAGAAAATTATACATGCAGTATACAGAAAGATAATACAAATATAATTTCACTCACCAAGCCTATCACATGAAGCAAACATCCATCCCTTTGTTCTTTAGTGAAACTGACGCAGCCTATCTAAAACCGTAAATCTTCATTATTATCATACAGTGTTCTGTGAAATATGTTCACAATGACAGTTTAAATAATTAAGTGTAAGTATGTAAATAACTGTAAGTATGTTTTACTTTGATATAAACATTTAGATTAAATATGCCATTCTGATTAATGGAGTTAGACACTTAAAGTGGGCCTACATGAAATCATTACTGAGAAGTTACAACATTTTTTTATATTCAATAAATATAAATATTCGTCGTGTATGCAATGCTTTCAAACACTTCTCCTCTGGCATGCTGTGTTTAAATGTTTTAACTACAGAGATAATTGCTTATCATGATAATAGCAGATTGTCTGAGAAAATAGTTTCGTGCAAATAATGCACTACAAGGTCTATCTGTTTCCAAATATAAATCAATTAAAAATACTTTTTGGCCAGTGGAAAAGATTGAGAAAAACTTTCTCTGAAATGTATTTTACACTATTTGATTTATTTATTCAAAAACAAGGCAAGGATATAGGCTACTAAATTATTTTTTATTAATGTAGCCTAACTAATGTCACGGCACATCCGTATTTCATATTTTCCAAATGTCTTGTACCGTTAAACATGTTATCACGTGGATGAATAATCATATGCAAATGATATGCAGATGAGGATAGTAAAACTCTGCGTTATAATCTCCATATATGGTTATTTCGGGGTGGAGACGCATGTGCGCACAATCTTCCGCTGACTGGGATTTATAAAGTCAATTCTGCGCAGGTTCTGGCAGGTTTTATAAGTCAGAATATTTGTTTGCGTACGCCATTTTTGGCTTTTGGACGCACGTACACTTTTAGTAAGGATCCTACACACAGTTTTATAAATGAGACCCCGGGTCCGGGTCTGGGTCAGGCTCTGGGTCAGGCTCTGGGTCCGGCTCTGGGTCCGGGTTAGGGTCAGGGTCTGGGTCCGGTCTGGGTCTGGGTCCGGTCTGGGTCTGGGTCAGGCTCTGGGTCAGGCTCTGGGTCAGGCTCTGGGTCCGGCTCTGGGTCCGGGTTAGGGTCAGGGTCTGGGTCCGGTCTGGGTCTGGGTCCGGTCTGGGTCTGGGTCAGGCTCTGGGTCCGGTCTGAGTCCGGGTCAGGCTCTGGGTCAGGGTCCGGGTCTGGGTCAGGCTCTGGGTCAGGCTCTGGGTCAGGCTCTGGGTCCGGCTCTGGGTCCGGGTTAGGGTCAGGGTCTGGGTCCGGTCTGGGTCCGGTCTGGGTCTGGGTCAGGCTCTGGGTCCGGTCTGAGTCCGGGTCTGGGTCAGGGTCCGGTCTGGGTCCGGGTCTGGGTCAGGGTCCGGTCTGGGTCCGGGTCTGGGTCCGGGTCTGGGTCAGGCTCTGGGTCCGGGTCTGGGTCCGGTCTGGGTCAGGCTCTGGGTCTGGGTCAGGCTCTGGGTCTGGGTCTGGGTCCGGGTCCGGGTCAGGGTCTGGGTCTGGGTCCGGGTCTGGGTCTGGGTCTGGGTCTGGGTCCGGGTCCGGGTCAGGCTCTGGGTCCGGGTCAGGGTCAGGGTCTGGGTCCGGGTCTGGGTCTGGGTCTGGGTCCGGGTCCGGGTCCGGGTCCGGGTCAAGCTCTGGGTCAGGGTCCGGGTCTGGGTCTGGGTCTGGGTCAGGCTCTGGGTCAGGCTCTGGGTCAGGGTCTGGGTCCGGGTCAGGGTCTGGGTCCGGGTCAGGCTCTGGGTCCGGGTCAGGGTCTGGGTCCGGGTCTGGGTCTGGGTCCGGGTCAGGCTCTGGGTCAGGGTCAGGGTCTGGGTCCGGGTCAAACTCCAGGTTCTCCATCTGGTCTGGATACGGCCCGGATCCGGCTGACTACATCATGCGTTGTGGTCGTGTCTAGGCGCAGGTCCTCCATCTGGTCTGGATACGGCCCGGATCCGGCTGACTACATCATGTGTTGTGGTTGTGTCTAGGCGCAGGTCCTCCATCTGATCTGGATACGGCCCGGATCCGGATGACTACATCATGCGTTGTGGTCGTGTCTAGGCCTAGGTCCTCCATCTGGTCTGGATCCGGCCCGGATCCGGCTGAGTACATCATGTGTTGTGGTCGTGTCTAGGCCTAGGTCCTCCATCTGGTCTGGATACGGCCCGGATCCGGCTGACTACATCATGCGTTGTGGTCGTGTCTAGGCCTAGGTCCTCCATCTGGTCTGGATCCGGCCCGGATCCGGCTGAGTACATCATGTGTTGTGGTCGTGTCTAGGCGCAGGTCCACCATCTGATCTGGATACGGCCCGGATCCGGCTGACTACATCATGCGTTGTGGTCGTGTCTAGGCGCAGGTCCTCCATCTGGTCTGGATACGGCCCGGATCCGGCTGAGTACATCATGTGTTGTGGTCGTGTCTAGGCGCAGGTCCACCATCTGATCTGGATACGGCCCGGATCCGGCTGACTACATCATGTGTTGTGGTCGTGTCTAGGCCTAGGTCCTCCATCTGATCTGGATACGGCCCGGATCCGGCTGACTACATCATGCGTTGTGGTCGTGTCTAGGCCTAGGTCCTCCATCTGGTCTGGATACGGCCCGGATCCGGCTGACTACATCATGTGTTGTGGTCGTGTCTAGGCCTAGGTCCTCCATCTGATCTGGATACGGCCCGGATCCGGCTGACTACATCATGTGTTGTGGTCGTGTCTAGGCCTAGGTCCTCCATCTGATCTGGATACGGCCCGGATCCGGCTGACTACATCATGCGTTGTGGTCGTGTCTAGGCCTAGGTCCTCCATCTGGTCTGGATACGGCCCGGATCCGGCTGACTACATCATGCGTTGTGGTCGTGTCTAGGCGCAGGTCCTCCATCTGATCTGGATACGGGCCGGATCCGGCTGACTACATCATGTGTTGTGGTCGTGTCTAGGTGCAGGTCCTCCATCTGATCTGGATACGGCCCGGATCCGGCTGACTACATCATGTGTTGTGGTCGTGTATAGGCCTAGGTCCTCCATCTGGTCTGGATACGGCCCGGATCCGGCTGACTACATCATTTGTTTTGGTCCTGTCTAGGCGCAGGTCCTCCATCTGATCTGGATACGGCCCGGATCCGGCTGACTACATCATGCGTTGTGGTCGTGTCTAGGCGCAGGTCCTCCATCTGATCTGGATACGGCCCGGATCCGGCTGACTACATCATTTGTTGTGGTCGTGTCTAGGCGCAGGTCCTCCATCTGATCTGGATACGGCCCGGATCCGGCTGACTACATCATTTGTTGTGGTCGTGTCTAGTCGCAGGTCCTCCATCTGATCTGGATACGGCCCGGATCAGGCTGATTACATCATTTGTTGTGGTCGTGTCTAGTCGCAGGTCCTCCATCTGATCTGGATACGGCCCGGATCAGGCTGATTACATCATGCGTTGTGATCGTGTCTAGGCGCAGGTCCTCCATCTGATCTGGATACGGCCCGGATCCGGCTGACTACATCATGTGTTGTGGTCGTGTCTAGGCGCAGGTCCACCATCTGGTCTGGATACGGCCCGGATCAGGCTGATTACATCATGCGTTGTGGTCGTGTCTAGGCGCAGGTCCTCCATCTGATCTGGATACGGCCCGGATCCGGCTGACTACATCATGTGTTGTGGTTGTGTCTAGGCACAGGTCCTCCATCTGGTCTGGATACGGCCCGGATCCGGCTGACTACATCATGTGTTGTGGTTGTGTCTAGGCACAGGTCCTCCATCTGGTCTGGATACGGCCCGGATCCGGCTGACTACATCATGTGTTGTGGTTGTGTCTAGGCACAGGTCCTCCATCTGATCTGGATACGGCCCGGATCCGGCTGACTACATCATGTGTTGTGGTCGTGTCTAGGCGCAGGTCCTCCATCTGATCTGGATACGGCCCGGATCCGGCTGACTACATCATGCGTTGTGGTCGTGTCTAGGCGCAGGTCCTCCATCTGATCTGGATACGGCCCGGATCCGGCTGACTACATCATGCGTTGTGGTCGTGTCTAGGCGCAGGTCCTCCATCTGGTCTGGATACGGCCCGGATCCGGCTGACTACATCATGTGTTGTGGTTGTGTCTAGGCACAGGTCCTCCATCTGATCTGGATACGGCCCGGATCCGGCTGACTACATCATGTGTTGTGGTCGTGTCTAGGCGCAGGTCCTCCATCTGATCTGGATACGGCCCGGATCCGGCTGACTACATCATGCGTTGTGGTCGTGTCTAGGCGCAGGTCCTCCATCTGATCTGGATACGGCCCGGATCCGGCTGACTACATCATGCGTTGTGGTCGTGTCTAGGCGCAGGTCCTCCATCTGATCTGGATACGGCCCGGATCCGGCTGACTACATCATGCGTTGTGGTCATGTCTAGGCGCAGGTCCTCCATCTGCTCTGGATTAGAGCCCGACCGATATGGATTTTTGGGGGCCGATACCGATATTAGGGAGTAAAAAAAGCCTGATAGCGATATATCGGCTGATATTATTTATGTGTATATTATAATACAGTAGTAATATCATTTATGTGTATTATAGTACAGTATACCAGTCAAAAGATTGGACACTTTCCTAATGGTTTGTACAAACTTTTGATGGGTACTTTACACAGTATAAACAGAATAAATATATTTAATAAACACGTTTTGCAATGATCACTCAAATGAAAAAGTGGTGATCAAACACTTGTGTGACACAGATATGTAATGGAGGCAGGGGGAATGATAGAATGAGAATTATACAGTTGAGCTGTAACCAAACTAGTTTGCATTGCATGTTATATTATATTATATTCTAAATACTGTTGCATAATCTTCACTAACGACTTTGTCTTTTAATTTAGTCATAACTTGTATCAATAAATATATATAAAGTGTCACTGACAAAACCTTATTATCTTCTATTTTTAGTCTTAATTCCTCTAATCTCTACCAGTGGAGGAAGAACTCAGATCTTTTTACTAAAGTAAAAATAATATCATAATGAAAACGTTTTTAATTACATATGTACAGTACTTTTATACTATTATAAATAATTAGTAAGCAAAATGTATTAAACGTGAAACTAGGCTACTCTTAATGCAAAATGGCCCTATATAAAGTGTTATAATTATATAAATTATTGGAATATTGTTTGATGTTGTAACGTAGCATTATAGGCAGAATGAGCTTTAACACTGTGTCTACACCGGACGCGGCCGTTATTGCTCGCGTCACAACAGCTGTTTACCCTAGACAAAGCAGAATCAGTTTACTGTCGGAGATTTGTCGCTCGCGCCACGCATTTTAATCAATGTTTCATCAACCAATTGCCTGGATTTAATAAAAAAGAAGTAAATGTAGCAGACAATATAATCAGGACTTCTCAGCTGCGTGCTTGCAAGAGTCACAAGCTCAAACAATACGTGACAGAGGCTGGTAGCAGAGAAATCAATTCTGTGAATTACACTGCGCAAATCAAAAGTAGGCTACTACCCACCGGATGAAGAAGGGTTGGCTCTCAGTCTCCACAGGCTACAAAAAATATTAATTTTATTTTATTTTATTTTTCGTGTTCGCATTTATGAGGAAAAAACAATGTTACGGACGCGACAGTTCAGCACTACGGACGTGAGCGCTCTGAAAGCGGCATTAAAATATGCTTTGAAACTTTCACATAGACATCAAACAGAAAGCACAAAACCTTTCGTTTCAACGTGAATTTCGTATCTTAATTTTAATCAATGTTTCATCAACCAATTGCCTGGATTTAATAAATAAGAAGTAAATATAGCAGACGATAGATAATCTCGACACGGAGGCGCCTGCGGGTGAACTGGAGCTCGTCTCATGAACCGAAACTCAGCGTATAGACCTGAGAAGTGAAATATATCTATATTGAAATGTCTACTTTTAAACAGAACAATTCAAAACGAAAGACAGACAGACTTATGTAATCGTATGAAATGTGCATTTCTCTCTGGCGCGCGTTCACTGAAGATCGCGAGTCAGCATCGTCAACTTCATCTTTGGCTGACACTGACTGAAAACACTTGTTTATTAATAAACAATTAAAATGTCTCCTTGCTATATTTGTTGTGTTCATAATCATTACTTTTGCCAGTTCTTTGTGACAGCTTTTAGGTGCTTTATTGGCAGCGCCACCCTTACATGAGTCACCGCACCCGCATTTTTTAAAATATTCATTTATCAACCATTAAAAATGCCGATACCGATAGCTAGGAAAATGCCTAATATCGGCCGATAATATCGGCCCGCCGATATATCGGTCGGGCTCTACTCTGGATACGGCTGACTAATGTAAACCTCGGAATATAAACAGAAAGACTAACATTAGTGTAGATGCCATTCTTATGATGTAACAAGTACATCAGGTGTTATAGGAAGCGTTATACTTTTACACTGTAAAAGTACTATGTGATCTTAACTAAACGTGTGTGTGTGTGTGTGTGTGTGTGTCCCAGCTCTTGCAGATTGGAGCCGTCCTCAGAATCTCTCTGTTCAGAGTCTCAACACACAGTATGTTCTGCGCTGGGACTGGGATGACGATCAGCAGAGCGCCATCAACGGGACGCTCACCTTCACGGCACAGTGTCTCTCGTAAGAACACTGTATCTCTACTTTCATCCATAACATCATGTTTATTCACGTTATTGAGCCAATCTTCTAATTACAGAATTCTAATAACAAAATGAAAAATAATTACACAGGCTGGACAGGTCATAAGAGATTCTTGTAAGAGATTTGAGGTTCATGTCCTGTAGCATAAAAATATTTTTATATATTGACGTTATTTTCCTCCGAATTTCTCATTATCGTAATCTGTCCAGATGTTTTGTTTTATTCTTGCTCTCGATGTGACTTATTTCTGTAACACAGAAATGAATATCTGCTTAAAGGTAGTACCACAAATACTACTTTGTGTAATATAGAATCATTTTTCTAGTAATTCATGTCATTTTTGCATTATAATAGTAAAAATTAAGAGAGAAATGTGCTGAATTGTGCTTGGGCTTTATTGAAGCTCATAACCAGTCCTCTTCAGACTGACAAATGTTTAGCCAAATCTATGCAAAGCTTATTCAAAAGTTAATGAGAACAGACGTCATCCAGCCAATGATAATGAATTCTAAAGCATTATACTTTATATTGTTAGTAAATATATAGAAGAATACAGACGGACACAGAAGCAAGTAAACCTTGGGATGGATGTCCAAGCCATGACATGTTAGTGTTTTAAAAAATAAACTCCAAACAGGAGCCATTCAGCTGTTTCCCTCAGGTAACATGAAGAAACCCTCTGTCCAGGGTCAGTGACTGCTGTACTTCACGTGATGAATCGAGTCACTCATGTGGTCTTTCCTCCAACAGGGCGGCTAATTCCCGTAAGGCGCCTCAAAAGCAGATCTGGAGGACCGTGTGTGCAGATGTTCTGGAGCGGCGCTGTGATTTCACTGATGCTGGACTGAGTTATTGGGGCATTTATCTCCTGCGTGTGCGGGCCAACACAGCACAGCAGTTCTCCAACTGGACCAGCATCACCTTCTGCCCAGATAAAGAGGGTGATTAAACTGGTCTGTTGTAATCTGGCCTCGGCTCTTGATTCTGCGGTGTAACCACAGCTCTGTCCTTCTCCTCTCTAGCTGATCTAGGTCCTCCGTCCAGTGTGAAGCTGACCTCTGTTAAAGGAAATCTGGAGATCGCCATCGCTGACCCTCTGAGGAGCACCAACGAGTCCATGAAGACGCTGGTCCAGGACATGCAGTACCTCATCCAGTACTGGAAGTGGCCCAAAGGCTATCAGGTATCTGTGCGCTAATGACAAGCAGTTGCACTGCATAGATCAGCGGTCCTTAAAGGGATACTCCACCGTTTTTTCATATTAAACTATGTTATTCTCTTACCTAAGACGAGTTGATACATACCTCTCTCGTCTCAGTGCGTGCACTGAATCGCTCTGTCGGGCGGAGAACTTTGAGAGCAGTTAGCTTAGCCCCATTCATTGTATATGGGCCAAACAGAGATGAAGTTAGAAGCGATCAAACACATCCACGTTTTCTCTATTTAAATATAGTTACACGAGTAGTTACACGACCAAGTATGGTGACACTAAATAAAATGTGGCGCTTTTTATAAGCGGGTAAAATGGATAACTATAATGTATGGCGGAATAGCACTTATTGGGAGCACTTCGACTCGGCGCTGTAATATCTTCACTCGTGAAAAGTCCTCTCCCCCTCTCCCTCTCCCTCTCCCTGATACTTCGTCAACTCTGCACAAAAAACTACTACTACTGCAGGCGTGCAGGTCACGTTGGTTCTATTGACGGAAATGACAGGGAGAGGGAGAGGACTTTTCACGAGTGAAGATATTACAGCGCCGAGTCGAAGTGCTCCCAGCCCTGATCAAACACACCTATCTGGGGTTTACTAGTGTTCCTGCAGAGATCAGCCCTGATCAAACACACCTATCTGGGGTTCTCTAGTGTCCTGCAGAGGTTAGCCCTGATCAAACACACCTATCTGGGGTTCTCTAGTGTCCTGCAGAGGTTAGCCCTGATCAAACACACCTATCTGGGGTTCACTAGTGTCCTGCAGAGATCAGCCCTGATCAAACACACCTATCTGGGGTTCTCTAGTGTCCTGCAGAGATCAGCCCTGATCAAACACACCTATCTGGGGTTCACTAGTGTCCTGCAGAGATCAGCCCTGATCAAACACACCTATCTGGGGTTCTCTAGTGTCCTGCAGAGATCAGCCCTGATCAAACACACCTGCCTGGGGTTCTCTAGTGTCCTGCAGAGATCAGCCCTGATCAAACACACCTATCTGGGGTTCTCTAGTGTCCTGCAGAGATCAGCCCTGATCAAACACACCTATCTGGGGTTCTCTAGTGTCCTGCAGAGATCAGCCCTGATCAAACACACCTATCTGGGGTTCACTAGTGTTCCTGCAGAGTTCAGCCCAGATCAAACACACCTATCTGGGGTTCTCTAGTGTCCTGCAGAGATCAGCCCTGATCAAACACACCTATCTGGGGTTCACTAGTGTTCCTGCAGAGATCAGCCCTGATCAAACACACCTATCTGGGGTTCTCTAGTGTCCTGCAGAGGTTAGCCCTGATCAAACACACCTATCTGGGGTTCTCTAGTGTCCTGCAGAGGTTAGCCCTGATCAAACACACCTATCTGGGGTTCACTGGTGTCCTGCAGAGATCAGCCCTGATCAAACACACCTATCTGGGGTTCTCTAGTGTCCTGCAGAGATCAGCCCTGATCAAACACACCTATCTGGGGTTCTCTAGTGTCCTGCAGAGATCAGCCCTGATCAAACACACCTATCTGGGGTTCACTAGTGTCCTGCAGAGATCAGCCCTGATCAAACACACCTATCTGGGGTTCACTAGTGTTCCTGCAGAGATCAGCCCTGATCAAACACACCTATCTGGGGTTCACTAGTGTCCTGCAGAGATCAGCCCTGATCAAACACACCTATCTGGGGTTCACTAGTGTCCTGCAGAGATCAGCCCTGATCAAACACACCTATCTGGGGTTCACTAGTGTCCTGCAGAGATCAGCCCTGATCAAACACACCTATCTGGGGTTCTCTAGTGTCCTGCAGAGATCAGCCCTGATCAAACACACCTATCTGGGGTTCACTAGTGTCCTGCAGAGATCAGCCCTGATCAAACACACCTATCTGGGGTTCACTAGTGTCCTGCAGAGATCAGCCCTGATCAAACACACCTATCTGGGGTTCTCTAGTGTCCTGCAGAGATCAGCCCTGATCAAACACACCTATCTGGGGTTCTCTAGTGTCCTGCAGAGATCAGCCCTGATCAAACACACCTGCCTGGGGTTCTCTAGTGTCTTGCAGAGATCAGCCCTGATCAAACACACCTATCTGGGGTTCTCTAGTGTCCTGCAGAGATCAGCCCTGATCAAACACACCTATCTGGGGTTCTCTAGTGTCCTGCAGAGATCAGCCCTGATCAAACACACCTATCTGGGGTTCACTAGTGTTCCTGCAGAGATCAGCCCTGATCAAACACACCTATCTGGGGTTCTCTAGTGTCCTGCAGAGGTTAGCCCTGATCAAACACACCTATCTGGGGTTCTCTAGTGTCCTGCAGAGGTTAGCCCTGATCAAACACACCTATCTGGGGTTCACTAGTGTCCTGCAGAGATCAGCCCTGATCAAACACACCTATCTGGGGTTCTCTAGTGTCCTGCAGAGATCAGCCCTGATCAAACACACCTATCTGGGGTTCACTAGTGTCCTGCAGAGATCAGCCCTGATCAAACACACCTATCTGGGGTTCACTAGTGTTCCTGCAGAGATCAGCCCTGATCAAACACACCTATCTGGGGTTCACTAGTGTCCTGCAGAGATCAGCCCTGATCAAACACACCTATCTGGGGTTCACTAGTGTCCTGCAGAGATCAGCCCTGATCAAACACACCTATCTGGGGTTCACTAGTGTCCTGCAGAGATCAGCCCTGATCAAACACACCTATCTGGGGTTCACTAGTGTCCTGCAGAGATCAGCCCTGATCAAACACACCTATCTGGGGTTCACTAGTGTCCTGCAGAGATCAGCCCTGATCAAACACACCTATCTGGGGTTCTCTAGTGTCCTGCAGAGATCAGCCCTGATCAAACACACCTATCTGGGGTTCACTAGTGTCCTGCAGAGATCAGCCCTGATCAAACACACCTATGTGGGGTTCACTAGTGTCCTGCAGAGATCAGCCCTGATCAAACACACCTATCTGGGGTTCACTAGTGTCCTGCAGAGATCAGCCCTGATCAAACACACCTATCTGGGGTTCACTAGTGTTCCTGCAGAGATCAGCCCTGATCAAACACACCTATCTGGGGTTCTCTAGTGTCCTGCAGAGGTTAGCCCTGATCAAACACACCTATCTGGGGTTCACTAGTGTCCTGCAAAGATCAGCCCTGATCAAACACACCTATCTGGGGTTCACTAGTGTCCTGCAGAGGTTAGCCCTGATCAAACACACCTATCTGGGGTTCACTAGTGTCCTGCAGAGATCAGCCCTGATCAAACACACCTGCCTGGGGTTCACTAGTGTCCTGCAGAGATCAGCCCTGATCAAACACACCTATCTGGGGTTCTCTAGTGTCCTGCAGAGGTTAGCCCTGATCAAACACACCTATCTGGGGTTCACTAGTGTCCTGCAGAGATCAGCCCTGATCAAACACACCTATCTGGGGTTCACTAGTGTTCCTGCAGAGATCAGCCCTGATCAAACACACCTATCTGGGGTTCACTAGTGTCCTGCAGAGATCAGCCCTGATCAAACACACCTATCTGGGGTTCACTAGTGTCCTGCAGAGATCAGCCCTGATCAAACACACCTATCTGGGGTTCACTAGTGTCCTGCAGAGATCAGCCCTGATCAAACACACCTACCTGGGGTTCACTAGTGTCCTGCAGAGATCAGCCCTGATCAAACACACCTACCTGGGGTTCACTAGTGTCCTGCAGAGATCAGCCCTGATCAAACACACCTATCTGGGGTTCACTAGTGTCCTGCAGAGTTCAGCCCTGATCAAACACACCTATCTGGGGTTCACTAGTGTCCTGCAGAGATCAGCCCTGATCAAACACACCTATCTGGGGTTCACTAGTGTCCTGCAGAGTTCAGCCCTGATCAAACACACCTATCTGGGGTTCTCTAGTGTCCTGCAGAGATCAGCCCTGATCAAACACACCTATCTGGGGTTCTCTAGTGTCCTGAAGACCTTGGTTAGCTGGTTCAGGTGTGTTTGAGCAGGGCTGAACTCTGCAGGACGGAGAGTGTCTGAAAGTGACATTTAGTGTGGCCTAGTAGAATCCCTGATGTCAGCATTATTTCTGAGACTAAAGGTATACAGAAGTTCTTTAAATAGTATGATGACCACATCCTTCAGAAATATGTTGGTTTTTCATATCTAACCAGATTAGATCTTTATGATCTTATCGCTTAAAGTACTTTAGTATTTTTCCACAAACACTGAGGTCTGAATATGTGGATGTCACTGGATTTTGGACCATTTAATCCACCAATAATAATAATATTACAAATTATAATAATGGTATTGCTGAGTGAAGTATAGCGTTCCCGCTATAGCTAAACCATTCCATCTTTTTGTGTGCCTGTGCAGAAGGCTGAAGTCTTGAAGACCCAGAATAATGTGGTGATGCTGTCTGAGCTGAACCAATGGACGTGGTACTGTGTGAGAGTTCAGAGTCGCTATGACTTCTACAATAAGACAAGTGTCTTTAGTGACACACACTGCACACGCACTGAAGGTCAGCAGATCCATCACTCACTCTCACACACACTCACACACATGCTGAGTTCAGTTTGCTTTCCAGTGAAATCAACAAGAACAGTCATATATGGTTGTTAATAACTCTTCATGTCTGATAACAGATTTCATGTGTCATTTATGAAGCACGTGTCATGGTAACCTCATGCTTCAATAAAAGGTTAATGAACAACCCACACTCAAATGCAGCCATAGAAGTGAAAACTAAATATGGTGCTCCAGTGACACAACTTACCCATCACTGCACCTTCACCTAATGCAACTTTACCTAGTAAAGGCTGCCATTCTGAGAAACATGATTCATTTAATCAATCTAATTCTCTTAAGCTATATAATTTATACGATTATTCAGCAACATCTATGACATTTATAACCTACCATTTATGGGCCATGTTACAAAAGGCAGAATCTTTTTTTCAGGTGTCATGGCTAGTCCAGGCCAGATGAATGAGTGTGAGACGTGTAAAGATTGAATGCTGTGTGTGATTGCAGGACTGACTCCATACTGGCAGATCTGTCTGTACTTCCTGTTGTCGCTGGGGCTGTGCTTCCTGCTGGCGCTGTTGATGTGGTTTAGCTTTTACAAGGTGTTCAAGTCCTTAAAGAGCGTCTTCTACCCAAATGTTCATCTCCCGCCTCACATTCAGGAGGTAAAAACATTTATAACATTTATAAACATTGTTACATGCTATGATATCACAAGGTTTCAATTACCTTTGATTAAAGATGTGTCAGTTAGTTATGCATAGATGAACTGTCTGTCAAAATACATTTATCAGATTTCTCCAGGAATGACAAAAGTCAGTGTTTGCAGAGAAGCATTTCTGTTGAATAATTAAATTAAGCACATTTTTCCTACAATTACCTGTTCTAATTTAGGGCTATGCTAGAGAAAAATCTGAGATTGATTCCTGCGATTGCCTAAAATAAACTCAATATAACCGAAACAATAAACTGGAAATAATGTGTTATTTTACACAATAAAAAAAAAATCTAACATTGCTTTTCCTGCATTAACACCCCTCACGCACTTGATTTGATTATTGGGCATTTAAGAGGCCCTTGATACCAATAGGTAATCAGACTTCATAGAATATGTGGAGATGAGTAGATTTGATGAATCAAATGCAGTTGTGAGCTCTGGTCCTAATTAACAGTGTCTTGCACCGATTATAAAACACAGTTGATGACAGACAGTGGTGAATTATTCCATTTTCAATTGACATTTATTTGTATAGCGCTTTTCACAATACATATGCATGTTTTTACATTGGCCCTGTTGGCCGTTCGCCCTGTTCGCCCTGTTGGCCCTGTTGGCCGTTCGCCCTGTTGGCCGTGTTGGCCGTTCGCCCTGTTGGCCCTGTTGGCCGTGTTGGCTGTTGGCCGTTCGCCCTGTTGGCCGTTCGCCCTGTTGGCCGTTCGCCCTGTTGGTCCTGTTGGCCGTTCGCCCTGTTGGCCCTGTTGGCCGTTCGCCCTGTTGGCCGTTCGCCCTGTTGGCCGTTCGCCCTGTTGGCCGTTCGCCCTGTTGGCCGTTCGCCCTGTTGGCCGTGTTGGCTGTGTTGGCCGTTGGCCGTTCGCCCTGTTGGCCGTTCGCTGTGTTGGCCGTTCGCCCTGTTGGCCGTGTCTGTTGGCCGTGTTGGCCGTTCGCTCTGTTGGCCGTGTTGGCCGTTCGCTCTGTTGGCCGTTCGCCCTGTTGGCCGTGTCTGTTGGCCCTGTTGGCCGTTCGCCCTGTTGGCGGTGTTGGCCGTTCGCCCTGTTGGCCGTGTTGGCCGTGTCTGTTGGCCGTGTTGGCCGTTCGCCCTGTTAGCCGTGTTGGCCGTTCGCCCTGTTGGCCGTGTTGGCCGTGTCTGTTGGCCGTGTTGGCCGTTCGCCCTGTTGGCCGTTCGCCGCGTTGGCCGTTGGCCGTTCGCTGTGTTGGCCGTTGGCTGTGTTGGCCGTTGGCCGTGTTGGCCGTTCGCCGTGTTGGCCGTTGGCCGTGTTGGCCGTTGGCCGCCGTTGGCCGCCGTTGGCCGTGTTGGCCGTTGGCCGTGTTGGCCGTTCGCCGTGTTGGCCGTTCGCCGTGTTGGCCGTTCGCCGTGTTGGCCGTTGGCCGTGTTGGCCGTGTTGGCCGTTGGCCGTGTTGGCCGTTGGCCGTGTTGGCCGTTGGCCGTGTTGGCCGTTGGCCGTGTTGGCCGTTGGCCGTGTTGGCCGTGTTCGCCGTTGGCCGTGTTCGCCGTTGGCCGTGTTGGCCGTTCGCCGTGTTGGCCGTTCGCCGTGTTGGCCGTTGGCCGTGTTCGCCGTGTTGGCCGTTCGCCGTGTTGGCAGTTCGCCGTGTTGGCCGTTCGCCGTGTTGGCCGTTGGCCGTGTTCGCCGTGTTGGCCGTTGGCCGTGTTGGCCGTTCGCCCTGTTGGCCGTTCGCCCTGTTGGCCGTGTTGGCCGTTGGTCGTGTTGGCCGTTGGCCGTGTTCGCCGTGTTGGCCGTGTTCGCCGTGTTGGCCGTTGGCCGTTGGCCGTGTTGGCCGTTCGCCCTGTTGGCCGTTCGCCCTGTTGGCCGTGTTGGCCGTTGGTCGTGTTGGCCGTTCGCTGTGTTGGCCGTTCGCTGTGTTGGCCGTTGGCCGTGTTGGCTGTTGGCCGTTCGCTGTGTTGGCCGTTGGCCGTGTTGGCCGTTGGCCGTTTTGATTATTGGGCATTTAAGAGGCCCTTGATACCAATAGGTAATCAGACTTCATAGAATATGTGGAGATGAGTAGATTTGATGAATCAAATGCAGTTGTGAGCTCTGGTCCTAATTAACAGTGTCTTGCACCGATTATAAAACACAGTTGATGACAGACAGTGGTGAATTATTCCATTTTCAATTGACATTTATTTGTATAGCGCTTTTCACAATACATATGCATGTTTTTACATTGGCCCTGTTGGCCGTTCGCCCTGTTCGCCCTGTTGGCCCTGTTGGCCGTTCGCCCTGTTGGCCGTGTTGGCCGTGTTGGCTGTTGGCCGTTCGCCCTGTTGGCCGTTCGCCCTGTTGGCCCTGTTGGCCGTTCGCCCTGTTGGCCGTTCGCCCTGTTGGCCGTGTTGGCTGTGTTGGCCGTTGGCCGTTCGCCCTGTTGGCCGTTCGCTGTGTTGGCCGTTCGCCCTGTTGGCCGTGTCTGTTGGCCGTGTTGGCCATTGGCCGTGTCTGTTGGCCGTGTTGGCCATTGGCCGTGTCTGTTGGCCGTGTTGGCCGTTCGCTCTGTTGGCCGTTCGCCCTGTTGGCCGTGTTGGCCGTTCGCTCTGTTGGCCGTTCGCCCTGTTGGCCGTGTTGGCCGTTGGCCGTGTCTGTTGGCCCTGTTGGCCGTTCGCCCTGTTGGCGGTGTTGGCCGTTCGCCCTGTTGGCCGTGTTGGCCGTGTCTGTTGGCCGTGTTGGCCGTTCGCCCTGTTAGCCGTGTTGGCCGTTCGCCCTGTTGGCCGTGTTGGCCGTGTCTGTTGGCCGTGTTGGCCGTTCGCCCTGTTAGCCGTGTTGGCCGTTCGCCCTGTTGGCCGTTCGCCGTGTTGGCCGTTGGCCGTTCGCTGTGTTGGCCGTTGGCCGTGTTGGCCGTTGGCCGTTGGCCGTGTTGGCCGTTGGCCGTGTTGGCCGTTGGCCGTGTTGGCCGTTGGCCGTGTTGGCCGTGTTGGCCGTTGGCCGTGTTGGCCGTTCGCCCTGTTGGCCGTGTTCGCCGTTGGCCGTGTTCGCCGTGTCTGTTGGCCGTGTTGGCCGTTCGCCCTGTTGGCCGTTTGCCGTGTTGGCCGTTGGCCGTTCGCTGTGTTGGCCGTTGGCCGTGTTGGCCGTTGGCCGTGTTGGCCGTTGGCCGTGTTGGCCGTGTTGGCCGTTGGCCGTGTTGGCCGTTCGCCGTGTTGGCCGTTGGCCGTGTTGGCCGTTGGCCGTGTTGGCCGTTGGCCGTGTTGGCCGTTGGCCGTGTTGGCCGTTCGCCGTGTTGGCCGTTGGCCGTGTTGGCCGTTCGCCCTGTTGGCCGTGTTCGCCGTTGGCCGTGTTCGCCGTTGGCCGTGTTCGCCGTTGGCCGTGTTGGCCGTTCGCCGTGTTGGCCGTTCGCCGTGTTGGCCGTTCGCCGTGTTGGCCGTTGGCCGTGTTGGCCGTTCGCCGTGTTGGCAGTTCGCCGTGTTGGCCGTTCGCCGTGTTGGCCGTTCGCCGTGTTCGCCGTGTTGGCCGTTGGCCGTGTTGGCCGTTCGCCCTGTTGGCCGTTCGCCCTGTTGGCCGTGTTGGCCGTTGGTCGTGTTGGCCGTTGGTCGTGTTGGCCGTTGGCTGTGTTGGCCGTTGGCCGTGTTGGCTGTTGGCCGTTCGCTGTGTTGGCCGTGTTGGCCGTTGGCCGTTGGCCGTGTTGGCCGTGTTGGCTGTTGGTCGTGTTGGCCGTTGGTCGTGTTGGCCGTTCGCTGTGTTGGCCGTTCGCTGTGTTGGCCGTTGGCCGTGTTGGCTGTTGGCCGTTCGCTGTGTTGGCCGTTGGCCGTGTTGGCCGTTGGCCGTGTTGGCCGTTGGCCGTGTTGGCCGTGTTGGCTGTTGGTCGTGTTGGCCGTTGGTCGTGTTGGCCGTTCGCTGTGTTGGCCGTTCGCTGTGTTGGCCGTTGGCCGTGTTGGCTGTTGGCCGTTGGCCGTGTTGGCCGTTGGCCGTGTTGGCCGTTGGCCGTTGGCCGTGTTGGCCGTTGGCCGTGTTGGCCGTGTTGGCTGTTGGTCGTGTTGGCCGTTGGTCGTGTTGGCCGTTCGCTGTGTTGGCCGTTCGCTGTGTTGGCCGTTGGCCGTGTTGGCTGTTGGCCGTTCGCTGTGTTGGCCGTTGGCCGTGTTGGCCGTTGGCCGTGTTGGCCGTTGGCCGTGTTGGCCGTTGGCCGTTGGCCGTGTTGGCCGTGTTGGCTGTTGGCCGTGTTGGCCGTTGGCCGTGTTGGCCGTTCGCCGTGTTGGCCGTTCGCCGTGTTGGCCGTTCGCCATGTTGGCCGTTCGCCATGTTGGCCAGCCTCGAAATTAAAATTTGTTTTCCACACTACAGCCTTCTAAATGAAAATAGGATGATAAAGCTTCTGAATTATTACCAATGAATTCAGACCGCTAAGAGTAACCATTATAAACTTGTGTCCGCTCTCACACCCCGCTAAAGGCCCGTTCACTATATAATTATAGGACTATATAACTGTATTAGCATCCACACTGGCAGATGATCACATTACAAGTGTGCTGCAGTTTTGTCTTTTGCTGCTTTAAATGCTGGAGCTCTTTGGAGAAGGATAGATTTTGACTGGCAATGATGTTATCGTTCATCGGCTGGAAAAACTGTTCTGGCACTGATTCTCTGTGCTGCTACTGTTACAGTTGTGCTGGGGACTCACTGTTCTCTCAGAATTAGACCGATTATGAAAGTTTGTAGTTAGCGTGTCATTTGGATTGTGATGGCATGTGGTTTGGTGGTCTGATCTGAATGCGAGAGCAAAGCTGTGTGCCATCTCTCACCGCTCGCCTGCAGATGTTTCCGCTCGAGCAGGTGCTGAACCACTTCCAGTTACCTCATGCCGTGCAGAAACCAGACATCTCAAGCATTCGATTGATCAAAAAACATTTAAAATGTTACAAAAGATTCTATTTCAAATAAAAGCTGTTCTTTTCAACTTTCTATTCAAAGAATCCTGAAGAAAAAAATGTATGACAGTTTCCAC